GACACACCAACTTCCAGATTGTGGGCTGCATAGAGCAAGGATTTACTCTATTTCTGTTTCTAGCACATACCTATAGGAGTGAATGGTATGCTGTAGGTATTATATACATTTTGCCAAACGAATAAATAAATTAAATCTTACTGATTTGGTAAGTTTAAGATTTTTTTTAATGTTAATGATGTTTTGAAATTGCTGTGGAATGTTTATTATAAAACTACATTGTTAATCACAATTTAAATACTACTTCTGTGTAGCATTGTGCTTTGCACCTTTTTGTACCCTCCAGTCCAGGAACAGAACTGATTGCCCCTGTTAGAGTCTATGCTTCTTTTTTCCTTAAATTTATTGGGGTGACATTGGCTAATAGGTTCATATAGGTTTTAGGTGTAGATATTTTTAAAAAATATTTTTTGATGTCAAGGAAGGAAGGGGAGGGGGAGAGAGAGAGAGAGAGAGAGAGAGAGAGAGAGAAACATCAGTGATGAGTCATTGTCATTGATTGGCTGCTTCCTGCACATTCCCCGCTGGGGATCAAGCTCACACCCAGGTATGTGCCCTGACCGGGAATTGAACCGCGATCTCCTGGATCCTAGGTCGACGCTCAGCCGCTGAGCCACGCCGGCTGGGCTAGGTGTAGATTTTGATGATACAAGATCTGTATATTGCACTGTGTTCCCACCGACCAAAGTCAAATTATCTTCCATCACCATATATTAGGCCCCCTTCACCCCTCAACCCCCAGAGTCTGTGCTTCTTAAGAACAGATAATGCCTGGTTCATCTTTGTATCTTACCTAATAATTTCTTATGTATAATAAATGTGAAAAACATTAGAATAAAATTATGATATTAATTGGTCCATGCTAATTGTAAAACGGCTCTATAATTTAGTGTAACTGAATCAGTTAATTTAATGATTGAGTATCTGTTTGGAGGCCTACTGTGTACAGTTATTGGTTATACAGAAGTAAACAGAAAGCCATGGTCCATGCCCTCATTTGGCCTATAGTCTGGCAAGGGAGAGAGTTAGTAAATAAATAATGATGATAAGTCATTGTCCTTTGGAAGAACATTGTGAGGCTCTGACCTAGGTTAGGTATCAGGGAAGGCCCCGGCACGTTCTTTTAAAGGAGAGAACTGAAAGATGATGTGCATTAGGTAGAAATAGGAAAGGGAGAAAGGCGCCAGTATTATAGGTCGAGAGAATGGCAAGTGAGAAGGAAGCCTGGACGACTCGGTGGGAGATCTGAAAGCTTAGTGCTCAGTGGAAGATGGAGAACAAGAAATGAGCTGGAAAGATAAGCAGTGGCCCAGTTACGGAGGGTTTGTGAATTGGACTGAACATTTTACCTTAAGGGTAAACTATTAGGCTAGTTAATGACATGATGAAATTTTTATATTTCAAAGGTCGTTTTGGTGTTTTAGTGACTTTGGACTTGGAGTTATTGGGATATATTGAAATTTAAAGATATGAAGATTGGCAAGGTCTTTGTCCTTTGAGGTGGAAGAGCTTACGAGGAAGGACTTGGCAAATTGCCTCACCTCTCTCTACCTCAGGTTCTACATAATTGGGATACAACATATATTTTTTTAATTTCCATACGGTTGTGGTAAGGATCAAATGACTTTAAAGGCATGAAGGGCAGTTACTTGTGCACCGTGTTAACAAGTTGACAAGTGAATATTGAACTGTTAGGAGCATCTTGGGTTGTCTGTATGGCTTTGTTTTACATAGAACCTCACCTAAAGAGTTCTCCAAAATTGCACGCCTGTGTTATATTCCTGGAAAACGGGCCCTGACATCCGTAGTTCTAAAAAGGTTCTCAGATGATGCCGATGTTCACCAAAAACTGATCCTGGAGATGGAGATCATCGTGGAATAGAAGAATCATGAAAAGAAGCTACGCTTGATGATAACATAGTTCATGTTAGGTCACAAGCTGTTAGTTCATATTTGACACTTACCTGCTTGATACTCTCTTTAACTCAGTGTCTGCTTCTATGTTCCATGATTTGCAGGTCAGAAGCTTCGTGCGTCCAAATAATGGCACCATTTCTATGGTATCTATATTGTGAACCATCCCAATTACAAGAATATGCTAAACTCAGACTGGCCCTGCTGAAAGTCTTACTTCAACCCCGGGTTCTCTGTGACAAAGAACAGCCATCAGTATTGGAACAACAGATACTTCAGCTGTGTTGCGACATGGTCCCATGTTTGCAGGTAAGGCCTTCCGTTGTCCTTCACTAAGACAGCATCAGCAAGCACTGATTGTCATTGTCATACAGAGTAGAACCCATGTGCCCTGGCAAACTCGGACACATCCTGGCTCCCGAAATGCTCGCAGGCTTTTGGAAATGATGAAGTAACCAAGTCTAGATTTAACATTAATATATACAATGTTAACTAAATTCACAGTTATGTAAGTCAGCATAGCCCATTTTAGGATTAGTAGGAATGAAAACTTTCCTTTGTTTAAGAAAGGCTTCTCAGAGAAAAGAATCTTGAGTTGAATTTCTCCTTGTGCAAGACACAGAGAGAGGTATAAGAAAGAAAAAAAAAGACCTCTGTGCAAATTAGAAAAAGGTGTATGTCAGGGCAGATAGAGCCCTGAGACCCAGGGCTGACCAGCTGAGTGCTGGCTGGATTTCAGTTTCCACATGTCTCCTTACAACATGTGCGGAGTCCCTGATGGATCCTGCTTTTGAGAAGCCCACAGTTTAGTAAGGGAGTTAAACCAAGTATATAAATTTTCGTAATTCAAAGTAGATGGATGAAAGATGTTTAACAGAGGTATGGATAAAATGTCTAGGGAGTTCAGGGGAGAGATAAATTTGAGATAATGTTTCTATAACTGCAGATTTGAAAAAAAAACAACAACTCCAGTTGCCAGTGTGTTGTGATTTTAATCCAGTGATTCATTTATCAGGCCATCCAGTTCCATCATGGAGGTTTGTCCTTTGCCTAGCATCTGAGCACCATGCTGCTTAGCTGATGGGGAGAATATTTTTCAAAGTGATTGCTCAGGCCACAGATGACCTGTTTTAAGTTTGTGTTAGCAAGGAATGGAGAGAGTGAATCTTCCCTTTGTGACTCATAAGTTGGCTTTCCTGTAATCAAGGCAGAGAAAAGTGAATTAACATGAATTCTCCCATGGCTTCTCCAAAGCTTTTGTTTTGTGTGGGCAATAAAGCATCGTGTACGCAGAACATCTTGAACTAGGGTACACTTTGCCACACTTCGCTTGCATTACCCGGTTCTCTGCTCTTGGATAGATGTTTTCTGCATCTTTGTGAACCCATATTGGCAAGCTTAAATACTTATTCAAAGTGAGCTCTGTGGATTATTTCTGGGAATAGGTGCTTGTTAATCTAGTTGAGATAGGTGAGAAAAAAGAGGGAGACATCATTTGAAACAAATGGAACTAGTGACATAAACACATTTAATCACTTAACATATCGGCTTTATTAGTGAAGAACCTGAGCGTTAGGAAGGATCTTAGCAGCCATATAACCCATTTTCCCACTCATTACAGACATTTCTCATACTCTGTAAAAGAAAGCCGTCCCATGACAAATGAAACAGTGATGGGAAGTGTGCTACTTTGGAAGGCAACCTTTCTTTCTTTTAGCAAGTACTTCTTCTAATTGACCTGCATTTTCCTAAGATTTTAAATTCATTAGTTAAATTCTCAGAACAAAACAAGCTTTTTCAAAAGCCCATCTGCACCCTATCTTGTGTTGGTCTTCTCCCTCCCCTTCCTCCCTCCTTTCTTTCCTTCATTAATTTCTCCACTTCTCCACATGAAATGGTTTCCAGACTTTTCACTGTCCTTTGGCAGGAATTCTCTAGTTTATTGGTGCTCAGATTATGTTCTTTCCTATGAAATGTTCTTCTTAGTGCTGAATTCAGTGCTGACCCATACTGAGCACTGAGCACTTGAATAGAATCACATTAATTAAAAAAATTTTTTTTTAGAAATAGCCATGCCACCGTACTAACCTGTGATCAGATGGTAGTCAGTAGAACTCCTCTTTCCTTTTCTTATTGTGCCAGTTGCCCTTCAATTCTGTATTCTTGAAATTTTCTTTATTGGGACTTACCCATCTTAAACTTTATTCTTTTCTTTTGTTTTGTTTTTTTAAATATATCTTTATTGATTTCAGAGGGAGGAAAGGAAAGGGAGAGATAGAAATGTCAATGATAGAGTCATTGATTGGCTGCCTCCTGCACTCCCCTGACTGGGGATCGAGCCTGCAACCCGGGCATGTGCCCTGACCGGGAATCGAACCCCAATTGCCTGGATCCTAGGTCGATGCTCAACTGCTGAGCCACGCCCAGCCGGGATTAAACTTTATTCTTGACTTTGGTCCCAGTAGTTCTTTGTTTTTAATTGTGACACCACTCCTCACACTTGTTATCCATTCCGCATGATCTGTTTCTACATCAAGCTAGAGCACTACTTCAAAATTGTTCTTAAGAATTTTGGTAATGATGAAGGTTAGAGAGCCTTTAATGCTAACTTGTTGAGGTTGTCTTTCCAAGACTTTCTTACAGAAAATTTCAAATATGCATAAAAAATGCATTCAAGGAAATGTCAAACATGAGGCTTTACTTCATTTCAAATCCCTTTCTTTTCTTGGTGGTCTTTTGCCTCTCCCACTGGATATTTGCAAAAAAGCAAAATGACTGAATCTTTCACATTTATTTTTTTATAACCTAGTATTTTGTTATCTCCTCCCCCTTGATCTTATCTTTTTATCTCTTGTTTGCTAGGAATTAGTTTTTCTCTCTGTGTATAACTTAGTCATTTGGGGTTATTACGATGGTGGAGACTGGTGAAAGGTACAGCTGGTCAACTGTAGGCTTTCCTCTTGATGAATTTAACAGATACAGGCTTCTGGTGGAAGCAGATGGTTCATTGCTTGTAATCTCGGAGAAAAGCCAGTATGTCTGCTAGCAGGACCATATCCTTAATGCCGACCCCAGAATTGTGATCAGAACAGCTGGGTTTGAATTGAATTGAGATTTTTCAAGAGCATCCAAGTCTTTCCTACCCAGTACATTAGCCTATTGAGAAGGTACCCATGCCATTTGAATATGGTCTTTCCTTACACCTGCTGAGTGTGGAAATGATGCTCTCAGTTAAGGTTTCTGAGCAAATGCCTTGCAGAAGAAGGACTTAGTAGTGCATTAGAATAGCATGCGAACCCTTTTCTACCAGGTGATTATGCTGCAGTTGTAGAAAGAGTTCATTGGGAGAACTCAAAACCAACTTTAATTTCCTTCAAGATGTTGGCACTGCCATGTAATTTGTCTTAAATATGCATGCAGAGAAGTTAGAAAAATAAATGAAAACAATTGGTGCCAGACAGCAGCAATAAAAATGGTAACAAGTATTTTGTTTAGCGACAGAAAGAAAAGGCAGAGTTGTATAGTTTAACCCCATTTAAACTATACATCTGTACATCTCTTCATCTTAAGGCTTTACAGGTTTAGAGAAAAATATTTTATTAACGTTTCTTGTATAGCTTAAAATTATCCTTTGGTTTGCATATTATTTTAATATCATGACTTTTTAAACAGATGAGAGATTTGATACAGACAACAGAAGTGATGCTGTTCATTGAGGAAGTATATTTAAGCCTTGCACGTGATCCTGTTTTCTGGAAAATTCAGCTCACCGAGCTGACCCTTCAGCTGCTGTGTGTCTGTGAAGTCAGCTTGAACATAACTGGGGAATGCTCATCTTTAATTCACCTTTTGGAGCACAGTGTTGGACTTCTGAAGGAGGTAAGGATAGTAAGAAATTTTATTTTTTTAAAAATATGTTTTTATTGATATCAGAGAGGAAGAGAGAGAGAAAGAGAAACTTCAATGATAAGTCATTGACTGGCTTCCTTCTGCATGCCCCCTACCAGGGATCTGGCCCGCAACGCCGGGCATGTGCCCTGACTGGGAATCAAACCATCACCTCCCAGTTCATAGGGTGACGCTCAACCACTGAGTCACTTCAGCTGGGCTGGATAGTAAGAAGTTTTAATGTGTTATCACTTAAGTGAGTCTTTTATAAAGGAGCTGGGTGGGTTTGTGCTTTTTATCCTATCAAAGGTGTGTTGCTCTAATATGATTAGATCATACTAAGGTACAACTACAATTGATATCACTTATTATAAAAGTGAATCATTAAATACTCCTTAGAGCATCACTTAAGGATCTGCCATGCTGGCAGTTTTTCATTTATTCATATAGAACATAAGTAATGAATATTTATTATATGCCAGACCCTGTAGAATACAAAGATGAAAGGGTACATTCTGCGACCTCAAGGGACTTACAGACATGCAAACAAGTAATTGCAAATGCCTTTACGTATTTAAAGAGCACCATTAAGGAAAGTAGGGTGGGAGTTCAGATTTGAGAAGTCTGAACAGGAGTTTGCCTGGTCCACACCAGAGGCGGGGAAGGCATTGCAGCTGGAGGCCCAGCGCGGGCCGGACACAACCAGCATGGCCTGCTCGGGAGCCAGGAAGGTGTTGAGGATTGTCAAGGATCAAGGTGTAGGAGGCAAGGCCCAGACTTGTTTGCATTTTATCTTCTAGATAGTTGTATGCTAGTGAGCCTTTTAGCAGAGGTGCCCTGATAAGTTGTGGGTGGAAGATCATGTCGATGGGCGAGTGGAGGATTGTTTAGAGCAGGGCAGCACTTACAGGGCAGGAGGTGAGGAGGGGTGTCTTAGACTGCTAGGGCTGCTATAACAAAATACCATAGACTGGTGGCTTAAGCAACAGAATTTTTTTCTTACAGTTCTAGACAAGGAAGTCCAAGATCAGGGTGTTGGCTGATTTGATTCCCAGCAAGAGCTATCTTCTGGGCTTGTAGACAGCTTTCTTGCTGTGTCCTCCCATGGTAGAGGGAGCAAGAGTGAGCTCTCCATTGTTTCTCCTTATAAGGACACTGATCTTACTGGAATAGGGCCCTGCTCTTATCTCATTTAACTTCAGTTGCTGCTTTACTCCAAAACAGTTGCATTGGCATGTAGGGCTTCAGCATGTGAATTCGGAGTTGGAAGGACACAATTCAATTTATAGCAGGGGACTAATTAGGGAAATGAAACGGGAAAATAAAAATATAGGAGATGACATCAGTAGGGCTTTGTGGTTGATTAGATGGTCAAGGAGAGGGGAGAGGGTCCTTGGTAGAATTTTAGCTTTCTACTTTGGACAACTGGATAGTGTCATTCACTTTGAGAAATGGTAGCTGATTTTAGAGGGAAAATGATAAATTTGATTTGCGATGGGCTTGGTTTAAGATATGTATGGATCATAAATAGTTGGCTGTATGGTTTTAAAATTCAGGATAGAAGCTTAAGCAAAAGGTATAGATTTGTAGACATTTACTTTAGAGTGAGAGTTTAACTATGAGATTGCCTGACAGGGCTTGTGTTGGAACTGCAGGGATGGTTAATATTTGAAGTGTACTGGTCAAGAGGAGTCTGAGGAAGTATGGCTCAAAGATCGTATGACAATCGGAGGATACGGATGACTTGAAAATCAAGGGAAGGAATATCTTAAAAAGGGGAATGGTCAGTATTGTCACGGAGAGAGGACTTAAAGGAAGAGAAAATAAGCACTCTTCTGACACAGCAGGTAGAAGTTTATTCTTCACATTAGAGGAAGCAGTTTCAGTGGAGTGATGGTAGGAACCAGACTGGATTGAGGGAGTGAGTGACAGGTGAGGAAATGGGGAGAGTGAGTGTATTTTGGTGAAAGGAGGGAGCTGATGAAGGCTCAAGTAATTCATTTGTCAATTTGTCAAACTTGTGGTTAGAATGGTGTCATATATGCTGGGACTCCATAGATAATACTGTTTTATATACTATTACATAATGATAACTTGTGTTATATTTAATGTATATATTATCTATTGTGTATTATAGTAATATGCATTAATATATGGTAATATATATCTGTCATTATGTAATAGCTATTGTATATCATATAAATGTATAGGATGATAAAATCATATCAAACCCCGTCAGATGTAGAATTATATCTATATTATATAGCTATACAATTATATCTATATATAGTTATACCTATTAGGTATATAATAGATAATGTGTAGAAAATATATAGAAAAGCATAGACACATAACATATTATGGATAAATGTGATATAGAAAATATTACATAGCTAAATTACCAAGAGCTGTGTGTTTTAACTGAACTTCATATTGTTCTTTTGTGCTTGCACTAGATTCTTTTGAATAGTGGACATAATTATCAATTATAACTTTATAACGTTTAGACTTTTTTACTGTCATTCTCTGACCATCTTATCTCTGCCCCTCCCCCTATACACATTTAGCATATAGTTATTAAGCAGCTTCTATGACAAACACTTTGCTACAAATAATTAGGTGAAAACAGACTAGGTTTGTGAAGCTTAATTCCGGTGAAATGGTTCTAGCTTGTGTGCATAAAAATCACTAGCAGAGCTTATTAAAATGTAAATGCCCGGGGTCTGCCCCTAGAGACATTGAATTAGCAGGACTGAGTGGGGCTTAAGCATCTGTATTTTAAACCAGACCCTCAGGTGATTTTTCTTTTTCATTTTTGCACATAAGGCAAACACCCTAGTAAGCATCATACAGATTGAACTTTTTCAGCCACTACGTAAGGTTCCCACAAGCCTAGTCCTAATCACAACCTCCTCTGTCCTCTGACTCTCCTGACTTCTATAGGAGTATCTTTCCTACATATTAAAAACAGTTTTAACACCTAAATGTGTATGCCTACACATCATAATACAGTTTTGGTGTGCATGATCTTTTAGGTGTCTCTTACCCTAAAGGTGCTCCCCTTCCATTCCCTCTCTCACTTTTTTTCCCTCGAAGTATACAAGGTGGGGAAAAAGTAGGTTTGCTGTTGTGAGTATGTAAAACAGTTTATTCTTATATTGTTATTAATTATTGTATTATTTTTCATCAAACAAGTGTAAACCTACTTTTGCCCCACCATGTGTGTATGGAAAAGCTGGCTCATGTGGGCTGTAGAGTCTTCTGCGTTGTGAATTCTGCTGATTGCATCCTCGTGTGCACTTTGACATGTCTCTCTGACTCCTGATGGATTGGTGGAACTAGGCACTGAGCACAACAGCTACTAACGTCATAAAAAGAAGAGCAACACACTTGTGCTTCTTGATGGAAGAACACACAACTCCCTGTAGTCTTGGAAACAAAAACCAAAACACAACAAATTCTGAATCTGATCAAGGCCACCTCGGATCATTCAGCTCTGACCAGGGGACAGGGTTGCCTCAAAGACACGGCCCTGGGAGATAGTGTGAGCCCGGCTGCCATCTCTGTTGTGTCTGCTACAAATACCTTAATGTAGCCTTTGTTACACTTTGTTTTCACTTAAAAAAACAAAAACAAACACAAAACTCCCACCTTTTCCTCTACTATCTTGTTCACAACAGCATCCCTAGGCCCATCGGTGCCCGGTACATGGGTGGTGCTCAAAAGTATCAACTCCAAGGGTTTGCTGTCATTAAAATTCTAGTGACCTCTGAGGCCAAGCATAAAGGCATTTTCTCCTGTTTTAATATTTGACTTCTTTTTCTAGGCAGGCTCAGAATTAGCCTGGGTTCCCCCAAGAGTAGACTCTGTTTCCCTAAAGGCAAAAGCAGACCTTAGGATTCCACAAAGCAGAGGCTGATGCCACAGGAGTTCATTTGCAAGTCTGACTGCAGGAAGCAGGTGGGAGAGGGACAAGAAGGGTGAAATATTGACCATGGGAGAGGCAGTGCAAATGTCAAGTTGGCCACTGTTAAAGAGCAACTGGCTGCTGCAGCCAGTTCACAGAATATTCTGGAAGCCTCATGGAGTGCCTCAGAGCCCCGCTAAGGATCCAGAATAAAGGGGGAGGTAACTGGCCCCTGGCGTCTGTTGCCCAGTTGTCGAGCTTTGGCCTGCGGGGCTGTCACTGCCGGTGCTGCTCGATCTCGCTGCCCGGAGGCAGGAGGAAGCAGCAGTAACTACGGCAGTGGCGTCAGTATCTGAAGTGGCGCCCGAGGTGTCCAACACAGCTTTCGGTAGCGGACCTCACGAAATGGTACCAGTCTGTGGTGTCCATTAAAACTCAATCAGACAAAAACCCTGTAACCTCTCAGAAGTGCAGGCAGCTCAGGACTATTTAGCTTAACCCTCGGCAGTGCCTTTTCCTTATTTTTGGTGTCTTGCATCCCCAGCTCTTTTCCTGTCGCCCTCTATTCTGAACAGGCTGGTCTTGTTTCTGCCTTCATACCTTTAAGTTCCAGCCACTTAAAATGCTTCCAGACCATTTCAGAACCCTGAAAAGCTCCTTTGTGACCCTTTCAGCGACAGCTTGTGTGAAAAAGGCTTTCCCATGATAGCATTAGTATACAGTAAGACTTTTGTCTCTGATCCTCCTGGTAGCTGGTAAATTTGAAATTTAAATTCCCTCGCTGGTGGGTTTTTGTTGTTTTTTTTTTTTATGGACATACAGAATTTGAAATGAAATTGAGGAAAAGATGATGGCAAAGAATCGGGCGATGGTGTTTACTGTAGCATATTTGTTTCAAGATGCAATTCTCAAATAGATAAATTGCTTCATAGTTCTTAACTGTATTTCAAATAGCGAACATGTATAAGCTGCAAAGACATAAATTAGAGTATATTCCATTCAAAAAATTCACAAAATTTTTCTTTTAGCTGGTTTTTTAAAGCCCATAAGCAAGCACTTTAGAAGATTTTGCAGTTTGATTGATTTCACTTTTAAAAATGACTTAGAGATATATAGTCATTAATTTGTGCCAGAGTTGATAGCATCTCCAAGATGATAACTTCTGAGGTGGCTCACACTAAGTTGTTTTCTCTCAAGGGTTTCTTTAACGTGGCTCTGCCTCGTGCATCTTTTTTTCTCTTGCCTGTCCTCATGATTTATAGGTATTTCTGCTCTGCAGGTGCTTCTGTAAAATTTCAGAATGAAGCAATTTTAGCAAAGTGGGGTGGGCCTTTTTTCTTTAGTTCCATAATGTGTTAATGTCTTCTGTACTTAGGATCCTCAAATAACATCTTATATCATTCGTATCTTACTTATTAGAAATTAATACACGTGCCTTTTCTTTTTCATTTCATTCATATACTTAGTGAAATTAATGATTCTTCAGTTTCTATGGTTATTGCTTTGCTGCATTTAAATATGCTTAATAAAGTACTGTGATTTAAGAATAATCTCTGCCTCCCAAGGCACTAATGTTTCTTTTATTATAATATGATTTATTAAAATGAATTTAGTGTAATTCATTATTCAAGTTATATAGATGTCTGTATTAGATAAGTAGACAACTGAGCTGCTTTCCAGAAATATTCTTAAATTCAGGGTTTCAGGTAGTTTTCAAAGATTTATGTTTTGAGGACTTGCAGATCTATCGAGTTAAGGTGTTATTCCTCTAAATTACTTTATTTTTGAGCCTATTGCTTTTTGGCCAGATATAAGCTGTTGAATTTGTGTATGGCTGCTCTGGCATTCACCAGTTCTTCCTTTAGTAGAGCAGGCTGACTGTAGATAATTCTGTGTCCAGTCATCTCTTGGATCCTTGGAGGATTGGTTCCAGGACCCCTGTGGACACCAAACTGCATGATGCTCAAGTTTCTTATATAAAATAACGTTGTTTTTACATATAGTGTGCACACGGCCTCCCACATACCTTAAATCATCTCTAGATTACTTATAATACCTAATGCAATGTAAATGCTGTGGAAATAGTTGTTATACTGTATTGTTTAGGGGACAATAGAGAATAATGACAAGAAAACATCTGTACCTGTTCAGTACAGATGCAGCCATCATAGGTCTAACTACATAGTGCACGTCAGCAACAATGTAACCTTTTTAAAGATATTTTTGATTTGCAGTTGGTTGAATCTGTGGCTGTAGAGTTATGTGAATCCGTGGATACAGAGCCCACAGATATGGAGACATGACTATAACAAGTTTATAATCTTTCATGCTGTGAATATACTCTTCCTGGATACATGTTACAAAGCCGTAGCTTGGAGAACTTTCTAATGACTCTTTGTGTTTTCTTCTTTTCTTTAGGATTTTCCTGTTGAACTGGTCATAATTGGAATAGCTTTACTACTTTTACAGGCTCCAGCAAGTCAGCAGAAGGCAATCTTAAGTCTAGGTAAATGCCACTCATTACAGTAAAAAGTAAATATAACATGAGTGTTGGCAGGAGTCCCTTGAACTATATGTATCCTGTATGTATGCTATAAAGTCCTGTATATTTTGAGTTTCTGTTCTGGAATTTTCTTAATTATCAAATAGAACCTTCTTTTTCTTGTCCAACAAGGTATTACCTTGTCCAAGGTTTCATCTACCATAACTTACACCTTTACTATTCAAAACTGTTGCCACATTGGACAAGATTTAATTTATGGCTGTTGAGTAACCTAGCTAGACAAATGAAAGATAACGTTCTTCTGACTGTCCAGTGTGATTTAAATGCCGCTGTTACATGAACGTTGCCTGGCTTTCTTGGGTCCAGAATAGGCCGCATGGTAATGGAGGCTCTGTCTGAATTGTGTCATAGGGTGCCACGATGCACTGATGCATTCCCACCCTCGTTTTAAAAACATGCTTGAGGTAAATACGATCGTGTAGTTTATTATTCCGGGTGTTTTAATGCATCATGATTTTGTAGGTGAATTGCTCTTGTACTTAGTCTATCTTGGAAATGGCTTTAGCACATGGAGGAGGACCCTTGGCTCTTTGGCTTTGATTCCTACCCTGCTCTTGCCTCCTGGCCTTACGCTTATTTGTGCCCCTCTTCCTAGTACTTTTCTGAATTATTTTGCCCTTTTTTTTTTTTTTCTTATGACAGTGCACATGACATCCTCCCATATGTACAGTTTGCTAGTGCTGCTACTTCTGACGGCCACAGATTTTTTAGAACAGCTTTATTGACATGTTATTTACCATAAATTTTACCATTTTTAAGTGTACAATAGTGTCTTTTTACTAAATTTACAGAATTATACAACCAGAACCACAATGTAGTTTGAGAGCATCATCAACTCCCCCCCACCCCTTGCAAATTTTTTGTGCCTGCTTACAGTTAATCTTCATTCCCACCCTTAGCCCCAGGCAAACACTAACGTGCTTTCTGTCTCTATAAATTTGCCTTCTGTGGGTATTTTATATAAATGGATTTTGTTTTTTGACAAGAAATTCCAAAGCTGTAGAGGAACCACATTTTTAATTCTGAAGCTACACTCTTGTGGTTCATGTATAATAGGATGCTATAGGCTCAAACACTCCAATACTTTTATTATTTGTTGGATGGGAGACTTTTTGTTTCATAAACTAGTGTCTCGGATTTGCAGTTACCTTAGGTAGATTGAGTAAACCATATTGAAAGCTACTGAGCCAGCATGTCTTGTTGAAAAGTAAGGAAGAACTGTTGTTTACTGTATTGGGGACTTGTGTTCAAAAAAATAGACTAACCCAGAGGATGTTGATCATTTCAAGTTTGAAAAATGCGTGGCCTTAATACAGTGTTACGCTTCTTAATTATTAACCCTTGCCTTGATTGTAAATAACAGTTTATAAAAATGCCTGGAAGATTTCTGATACAGAATGTATAAATGTTAGTAATATTTGCATTTCCTGCTTTGTCAAAGGTAATGAATTTCATATCTCAGAGACAATTATGGATTAAGACTAATATTTAGTCAGGAAATGTAAATTAATAGCATTAGAGAAACAGACTTGTACCTCATACTGTATTCAGGTTTGACTTCCAGGTGATTTGATAATAAAATACTGGCAACTCCCTGACCTGATTTAAGGCTTGTAGAAATTTTTGGCTTTGGTTTAGTGGGGATATCAGGTCATCGCTTTGACAATCTAGCTCGGAAGCCTGTGCGTAATAACATCACTCAGTAAATCAGGGTTCACTCAATAACTGAAGAAAAGTACATTTAAGCCTTAACTGGTGCTGTTATTGATCCAGGGGAGACTGTACCTGTAATGAAGTCATTGCACATCTGCATGTATGGTTCCGATGTGTAAGAATGTCCGTGTTAGAAAAAGAATCATTTGTAAAACTGGGCTGACTGTTCACGCTGATTGTGGCTGTGAGACTTGCCCCATCTGCTTCTCGGCAACTCAAATGGAAAGCTCGCCCTGCTCCTCCGAGCTTGCCTACTGATCTCTTCACACGGTGCTCAGCCGGCTTGCAGGGGACGCGCCCCTGCTCCCCACTGAGCAGGAACTCTGCCGTCCCGTGGTTCCATTTGTTGAAGGCGGTGGAAGGATCTGACAGAACAGGACAAAAGTGGGATTGTGTATTGAAGAAATTTGTACTGACCTAAAAAAGAGTTGATTTACACCTATGATATGCGGTGTGTATTTTTTCTAAGAGGATCATCAGGTTTTCAGTTATGTACAGGAATAACTTGTTTTAGATACTGATTTTTATGTTTTATTTCTAAAAATAAGATTTATCATCTTAGTTATATGTCTGACCCAGTTGTAAAGGGGTAAGAAAAGTTTTTGCATATCACCCTTAGACATAACAGCGTTTTGTTTCACTGTGGTATTGGTTTTTAAAAACATGAATTGTTGTTTTGATGAATAGCTCTGAAACTCCTCTCCTTTGCTGAGGGTAAGGAAATTCCGAAGTCATCCTTGCTGCTAGTAATGCCAGTTCTGCAGATACTATCTTCTACTGCCTTGGAAGACTGCATGTCCATGGGTGAAGACGGTCCCTCGAGGCAGCAGTTGGCTCTGAAACTTTTGGAAATGGTACAGCAGGGCTGTTACAGAGATGAGCCCCAAAAGGTAATGCAGTTCATCCTTATCACGCTTAAAGGTAAAGTGGGAATGTGGGACTTGGGTCTGTGCAGGTAACCTCACCTCCTGATGGAGCATGTGTTTGGGTTTAAACTCTTTGTGAACTTTGCCATGTTATCAGGCAGTTGTGTAGATGTTAGAATATTTTTCTGGACAGCGGGAGGGGAGGGTAGTCCTGTTGTGAAATGTTTTGGAAATGCTGTATAATCCTTTCTCTCCGAGTTTTCAGTCTACATGAGTAGTTAAAGGTCCTGAGGAATCCTGCAGAAAAGGAACTGGTTCTGTTTCAGCGAGTGCTTATCCCCCTTATTTGGGCATGGGCTCCTTTTTCCCCTGACATACTGTTTAATAAGTGCAGCATGTTGCTGGATCTGGGACAGTCCAAGGTGGGACGTCTCCTCCAATGCCCAGATGCTCTGGGATCTGTAAGAATGAAGATTTCATTTTTGAACATGGCATCTTAGGCCACATTCCCTGGCATCCTGGGTGTTGGGTGTCCTGTTTGTATCCCTACTGTGCTGCCTTCAGTTGGAAGATGGCAGGCCTGTCGCAAGCCGTTCCTCTTCCTGCCTGCTGGGCACACCCATTCTGCTTTGTCAGTCTCACTGTTCCTGTTACTTTTCACATTATTGTATTATAGGCTGGGTTCTAGGCCAATATTTGCCAGACCTTTTCTCTTTTGGTACTTCAGTTTTGCCTTCAGTGAAAATTACTTCCCAACTACTGCTCTTACAGGGATCGAATTGAGGATATAATAAAATGAAACTAGTGAAGCATCTTAAGTCTCCATGGAGAGAGGAATTACATAAATGCAAGCGAGTACCATAGTCGTTCCATCTGCAAAAGCAGATACCCCTAATCATGTATTGTAAATGTGCTAGCAGCAAAAATCCAGGCATTGTTACTGTGTTTGAGCATGCAGCAGAAACTAGCCTAAAGGCAAATGGATCGTCTCCTACAGCTTCCTAAACCCTATTTGTTTGAAACTTTATAACTTGAAATATGTAACTGATTTGCATTAAGAGAAGGAAGTTCTTGCATCTGCCCTAATAGGAGTATAAAATGTGGCTAAACATTTCTAGTAGCTTTTTACCTTTCCTCTTGACTTGCCCGTGCAGAACATTGATTGGATTCTGAATGGGGTTGGGATAGGGCAGGTTGTACTGTGTGTAAGAGCTCTCTTCCTTTAAATTGTGATATTTACTGAGGCTTCTACTGCTTAAGTACGCAGCTTACTGTTTGCTCAGGTGTGTGAATCTTATTTATCAACCCTAATAGTGAGACTTTCTCTTCAGCGGCTGGGTAAGAGGGAGGAGGAAGGAATACTTGAGGGCTGTGAACACCTCCTGATGATAGTGTGCTGCTTTGAGGCTTTCATTTTTTTCTTCTATTGGAATTTAAATGGAATTAGTAAGTCCTGGATCTTAGGCTTCCATCATTAACTTTGGTTAGCATGGATATTGAGGATGTTGTGGGTTGTCTTTTGATGATCAATCACTTCTCCAAGCTTCTCAACTCTTGACTAGATTCTTCATAGAGGTGGACACCAGAAAGACCCTCTTGAGGCTTTATCCAACCCCGTCTTCTGTTTCTGGTCTGGGAGTGATTAAATTCCCTTTAAAAAAAATATTTTTATTTTAATTCTTATTTTTATTATTGTTGGGTGACATTGGTTAATAAGATCATATGGGTCTCAAGTGTACATTTCTGTGATCCATGATCTGTATATTGCAATTGTGTACCCACCACCCAAAGTCAGATCATCTTCTGTCACCGTGTATTTGGCCCCCTCTCCCTTTAGTACCCCGTCCCCTTCCTTCTGGTAGCTACCGTACTGTCTGTGCCTCTGGGTTTCAGTTTCACATCCCACATGAGTGAAATCACATGGCTCTTAGCTTTTTCTGACTGACTTGTTTCTTATTGTTGATATTTAAAATACTTGAACATTTTTATCAAAAGCTTTAAAAAATATTCTCAATTCTTTACATCTGTAAAGGATGTTTTACAACCATTTAATATTTATTGAAATGCTATTTTTTGTATGGTTTTCTCTTACTTTTTGAGATATAATTCACCTAGTAAAATATTCTTTTAATTTTAAACACCCACTTTCTCCTCTGAAACACAGCCTACCAGCACATTCACAGGTTCTCCCACAGGCTGGGGGCCAGGATTTGGTAGTTGGTGCTGAGGGGAAACCCTTGGTTGCGTCACTGTCCTGGGACAATGCCAGTGAACTAGACTCGTCTCTCATTGGGCCGGAGAGACTGTCCTGTGATAACTTATCCAACACTATGCCTTTCTCCTGCTACTGTAACTTCAGGCAAACGAACAAGAAACAGAGCCTAAACCTCGACATAATAGTTCAAGTAAAGTAGGACTGATTACCAGTTTTATTTTTCTCTCCTAGAGATGACGGTGATATTTCCCTGTATCTTGCAACTTTAGATATCGTGTTAAGTGCTTTATTCATACTGTATCATTATCTACCTCAGTAATGTTGGTGGGAAGGTAGCTATAACTTCCATTTTACAAATGAAAAAAGTAAGGGTCAGAGAGAGTATGCAACAGCCAATAGCTGCCATGGCTGTGCTGAAGTTTTTGTCTTTCAAATCTCAAGTCCAATGCTATGTTATTAGTCTAAAGAAATTGACTCTAGTCTTTAATGAATTTCATTTTGGGGGAAACAAGTATTTTTAGAGAGAAAGAACCATAATAAATTTAGATATTTAATTTAAAAAATTTATAATTTTAATAAATTATACATAAAAATGGTTCAAAGATTATAAAATAGTATACAATGAGTTGTGTCCTTCTCACCCTTGATTCCAGTTGTCCAGTTCCCCATCCTCTCAAATAGAAAATGAAAGTTAGTGTATATTTTTATTTGTCTAGATATTTTTCTTTGCATATAAAAGCAAATACAGAAACATAGTATCCCCCCACCATTAAAAGTTAAAAATATAATTGATATCATTCCAGGCATACGATTTGTATCTTGTATTTTCATTTAGGAGATCTTTGTATATCATTAAAGGTGGAGCTTCCTTATTTGCTTTTACAATGGCATTTACCTCTTTTTAAAATACGATTTTTATTGATTTGAGAGAGAGAGAAGGGAGAGGAGAGAGAGACAAACATCAGCGAGAGAGAAACATTGGTTGGCTGCCTCCTGCATGCCCCCTCCTGGTAATAGAACCCGAAACCCAGGCATGTGCCCTGACCTCAAGGTGCATGATACTGGGCTCAACCGACTGAGCTACACCAGTCACGGCATTTACTTTCAAATAAATATTTTCTCTACTTTTAAGCATACACTCAAGATACTGAAGACCTATGTCCTCACAAAAACTTTTGTAGGAATATTCATAACAGTCTTATACATAACAGCCAAATAGTGGAAAGAACCATAATGTCCATTAATTGATGTATGGATGTAGCATTTTTATTTATCCATTCAATAGAATATTATTTGACAATGAAATGAAGTATCGATACCAGCTACAACGTGGAAGCAAACATACCAAATGAAAGAAGCCGGCCAAAAAAGACCCCATGCTGTGTGATTCCTATCCTACGCAACAGCCAGAAGAGAAACGGGGCGCGGACTAGTGGTTGCGAGGGGGCGGGGGCGGCCTGAATGAAGAGGGATGGCTAATGGGCATGGGGCTTCCTTTTGGGATGACGATGGTTACACAACTCTATGAATTACTAAAATCCACTGAGTTGTAAACTTTAGATAATGGAATTTATGTTATGTGACTTATAGCCCAATAAAACTTATTTTTAACTGAATTTATTGGGGCTGCATTGGTTAATAAAATCATACAGGTTTCAAGTGTATGACTCAATAAAGCATCCTCTGCGTAATGCATCGTGTGCCATCGCCCGAAGTCAAGCCTCTTTCCATCCCCATTTACCCCCTTCCCCTCTGGCCGCCACTGCACTGCTGTTGGTGTCTGTGGGTCCTGTATGTATGTATCTGCTTAATCCCTTCGCCTTTTACTTAAAAACTTCATAAAGCTTAACTTTTACTTCCATCCTTTCAGTTGTCCTGATCTCTTACATGTCAGCCTTCAGTAGCATAACCTAGAGATTCCTAGTTGTATCTACTGCTGCTCTCAATTATTTTGTTAGCCGGCTGTCCGTAATGCCTCTTCCATGTGCGTGGCCGCTCCTGAGCCTTTTGCGCGCACAGCTCGCCTTGGCAGAGTTCTGTCCCTTCTCTGTCCCCGACTGCACTGTTTTATTTCAGTGAGGAGTCGCGTCAGATCGACTTAAGCATAACATCTTCTTTGGGTATCATTTCCGTTTAGAGCTGCCAGGCCGTTTCTTATTGCAGAAGTTCTCCCCAGTTCTTAATGAATTCCCAGGCCCCGCTGCACCAACTCTGTTCCTATCAACATACCGTGTATTATAAAAACGGACCCTCCTCAGCCCAAGCCTGCCGCCTGCCCGGGGCTGCCTCTTCCCCAGCCTGGAGCTGGGCAGATGCAGTGTGTGGCTGTTTTGTTTTGTTTTTCTCTTTCCTCTTACTGGTGAATACTTTCGTAGTGATAACGGCTTTTCCAACTGGTGTTGCCTCTGGATCTTATTTATTGATCCATTTCTTTTTCTTTCTGCGAGCAAATGATAAATAAGAGGAAAGGTAGTGACAAACTGTTCCAGAATTCCTTGTAACAACTGTTTCTCCCCGTGTCATTCTATTAGCTCAAATATGTGCAGAGAGGTTTGGGACAGGCATTGGAAATTTTGTATTCATTTTGTTGGAAAGGTTGATTTCTTTCAATGAAATATAAAATATATTTCTGATCAGTATATTTATCATTATATTCATGCCTTTTTTTTTTTTTTTTTTTTTTTTTTTTTTTTTGGTT